CCTCTCTCAGGTCCCTCTTCAGGTACCAGAGTCAAACATTTACTTGGAGCTGTTGCGGCAATAACAGTTCCAGCAGTAACAGTTAAATTGAACACAGAGGGAGCGGAGCTGTCCTGGTGATTTACAGGGTGGAGGTGTAAATCACASCACATAACTAAGAGATGCCCTTCTGTGCCGGCACCTGCACGTTTTGGAAGCRTCGGGATTCCTCGGTGCTCTTGACGGCGAGAGAAAAGGCAGCGGATCCCCCAGGCTGCATCCACAGCCATCAGGGTCACGCTGTGCTTCATTCCCGAATGCAGGGGAAACCACGGAAGTGCTCCAGTTTGAGACATTAAGGGAAGGGACTAATATACCCTTGCCCCCTCCAAGATATATTTTCAAATCCATGAAACRTAAGGCAAGAATAAGGCTATTTCTAAGCCACCGAAATTCCTCAATCCCATTCTTCATTTAAAATGTGCTTCAGCAAACTTTTTGAAAGCACAGCCTTAACATCGCTGTAATATTTGGAATTGAAAAAGAAATATCTGCTTGCTCAACCAGAATATGTGCAAAGTTCAAGTCCGTTCTTTCAGATTGGATCTCCTGTGTCATGCAGGCGTCTGAGTCTTATGACTCAGATACTTTCCTTCTTTCAGTGCAGGTATTTGCAGGTAATTTTGGCAATGGATTTGTGGAATGAATATTCCAGAAACAGCAAACAAACAAGCAAGATATGCCGGAAAATTAAGTGAGGAAAAAAGATGAAACAAAAGTAGAAATAGAGAGGTTTCTAGTGACAATTTTTGATTCATTTCTGCTCGTGTTTGGCAAGCAATCTGAGCATCTCTATTTATTTGATGTTTCCCTTCTTGGGATGAGGAGCAGTGCGGTGCTTCCAGTCCTGCAAAACGACGACACTCAACCAGTGCTGGCTGCCGTGACACAAGCAAAATACCTCATGTCTCAGATCTGCCTTATTTTGGGATCTTGATCTTCCAAACATGTAACCTGTCATTAAAGCTGCCCTGTTTTTATCCATTCATTTGTTTTTAAAAGATTTTGTCCTATTTTACTTTGTGATGCCTTTGCGTTAAGGGTGTCCCCGACSATTAATGACAGCACTGGCTGACGTAGCAGGAGGGCACACTTAATGTTTGAGAAAGTGTTCCAGTTCGTGGTCACTTTATCTTTTACGGAAATTACACATTTGCTTAAGGAAGAGGAAGTGAGCACTCTTATTTTAGAATGTGTGCATTAAAGCATTTCAGAGGAGAGAAGAATACTCATTTTAACTGTAAAGAGTAAAACTCCTTACTCGACTAAGTCCCCAAATGTTACTACATCCACAACTGAAAAAAAAAGAGAACACACAAAACTATGATAACAAAATATTTTACTAAAATATCATACATTTGATAGTTAGCTCCACATTCCCATGTTCTAGACAAATAATGCAATCATTGTCACACATTCCTGTTAAAATTATATAGCATTCTGCACAAATTCAAGAATAGCAGCATTCCTGGCAGATATATTATGCAGTTAGCCCTTTTGTTCCATTCAGCTTTTACATAAGGCAAATATTTGATAATAAAAATCTACTCTGTATGCTCAAAAGAGCTAGGAGGGGTTATACTTGTTCAGTAGTTTTAAATCAGGTAGGATTTGATCACATACCTCTCATGGAGATTGTTAAAATCTTAATCTAAATTCAGAATATGCTAGTTCATGAGTTAGGATTGTGCAATATGCATTCATTCTTCTGTATTCAAAAACTGATTTTGTAAGCTGAAATACATATTAATCAGATCTGTTGATTTTTACACCCCTTGCTGATAAATAAGAAGCACTAGCTTAACTTTCAGAGTAACTTTCAAAAGCTGCTCAGAAAAAAAAAAAAGAAGATTTAGTGTTCTTCTGAACATTGAAGCATAAAAATGTTAGGAAATGGTGCTACTTCAACAGATAAACTGCAAAAAAAAGTGTCTCTGGATTATTTTTATAGTCTACAAAAAAAAAAAAAGTATATGTATGCACACAGCACTGCAGCATTGTGTTTACAATCCCAGTTACATTTCCAACTTTTCTATGATTGCTATTGGAAGGAAAATTTGGTAAAAGGCCACTAAGGTACTGTTGTGACTGTGATAGAAGTCATGATCCATGCCCTAAGCAGCAAAAGCTAATTTCATTCCATAGCTGAAACATTTAAAATTAGAAAATTAAAAAAAAAAAAAAAAAAAAAAAAAAAAAAAAAAAAAGACTGGTTCAACTTTTCTATGATTGCTATTGGAAGGAAAATTTGGTAAAAGGCCACTAAGGTACTGTTGTGACTGTGATAGAAGTCATGATCCATGCCCTAAGCAGCAAAAGCTAATTTCATTCCATAGCTGAAACATTTAAAATTAGAAAATTAAAAAAAAAAAAAAAAAAAAAAAAGACTGGTTCAAATAAGTGAGTTGGTCTTATATGCAATCACCTTCTATTCTTCTGTCACCTATTCTGGCAGGTTAACCTTATATTTTAAGTAATTATTCATTTACTATATTCTTTTTATTCTTTTTTTTTCAGGACAGCTTACAGGATGGAGAGAATTAAGAAATCCATTTCTAATTTATGTAAGAACAAAGAAAAAGATGTGTATCAAGGAAAATAACGTACAGCTGTTTAAACCATTACCTTGAGGAACTAACTAGGCAAAGGCATGCACGAGATGTGTGAATCCACAGCATTTCAACCTGCACTATTTTCTGCTTATTGGATGCCTAGTGGTGATAACTGAAGTGCTCCAGATAAGCAGACCATTAAGCACTAGGTGCCTAATGACATATACTCAGTAGGAAGGACATACTTCGAATGAGGTAATAAATAGATAAATTGGTATCTTGCACAGGTCACCAGAATTACCAGTTCGCTCCCAGGAAACATCCGGAAGGAGATGGTTCATCTCAAGATCCGTAAGGACCTTGCTCCTAGTGATGAAGTAGCTATGAATTTAGCATGGACTTCTGCCTCAAAAACATCAGGGCAGCTTCTGCAAAAGTGATTCACAGAGAAGAGCACCATCTTCCCCACTGGCAGCTGTTTTCAAGTAGGTAAGAGCATTCCTGGACCAAAGTAAAACCCACAGTCAAGAAGGCTGGCAGAACCTGGCCCTCAAAGGTGATTTTTGTATGATGATAGAAGGTCACAAACACCTCAGCTAGGGCATATTTTAATGCCATTCAAGAGCAGCCATCTCAACACCTAACAGCAGGTCAGGTTAACACATCTATAGGTAAATAAGTGGCTAGATGCAGGCTTTGTGGAACTGCAGCTTTGAACTGATGTGGCCAGCAGGTGTAATGCCAGGTACAGAGCTGGCAGCACAGCATCTGCTGCAGTGTGCAGAAGGAGGAGGCACCCACAAGGGGCACCCACAAGTATTTCTCTCAGTATAAAGGGGGCCAGGATGAGTATTAGGCCCTTGGGTACTCTGTGCTGTCCCAAATCACTGAGCGGTGCAAGGGGGATGCTAGAAGAGGCCAGAAAACATCTCCTTTTTGTTCAGTGTTTTGCTATAAATTTAAGCAATTGTCAGCTTGTACTTAGGCTGCAGCAATAGTGAGGAGCAAACATGGTAGGGGAAGGGCAAACACCTCCTGCCCTCGCCCACCTGGCCACCCAGGGAAGCCATGTCCCTACAGACACTAAACACCACTATTTCCTCAGCAGGAAACTTAAAGTAAAGCAGAACATTCTTCTGCCAAAGATGATTTTGTCATCAGCTGTCAAAAACGTGCATGAGCTCAGGTTGCTCTACATCAGAAGGAAAAATACAGCATGTTTTTACTGTTATGAAACGCTTCCTAAGATGGGGCATGTTTCTGCTGAAAACATTTGTCCTGCTCTTCAGACACAAGCAAGCAAAAAGGGATGCTTGGCCAGTACTGAGTTCAATAAAAAGGAATAAAAATAAATAAACTCAAAACAATAAAATACTTTATCCTGTATCAGAAAATAAGTCATTGAAAACCTTCAAGGATTGCAATATCTACATCACTTTCTGCTCTTCTGTGCAGGATCTTTCTATGCAACCTCCCAGAAAAAGACTAGGGAAATATTGACTGTACTGAACTTTTTCAGCCACCCTAAGTATCTCTGTTAGTTATCCACCTTTAGCCATTTTATCCTGCTCACCTCCCAGCTCCACAGGCATCAGGGAGGCGAGTGGTGGCCGGGACCTGTGCAGCCCCTCCTGGGTTGTGCAGGCACCGCTCTGCAGGCATGGCCAACGAGAGCACGCGTGGGCCCAAGCTGTGCCTGTCCCTACAGTGTTAAACAGAGGTCCCTGAGCAGCACACTTCACCTTTTCATATGTTACCTCCATTTATTTTTACAGTATCCCACATGTATAGAATATTTATTTGACTGACAGGATGTGTGAGAGTGGTATAGGAGATGTCTCCTGGGTTTGACTAGAGGCAGGCCAACCCGTCAAATAAAATTCTATATAAGATTTCAAATTCATTTTCATACATTTTCATGCRTACTATAGGCATTCGATACTTATTTGCTACTTTTCAATTGCCTGGAAAGTAAATCGAAAGAAAAATAACATAAAAAGTACTGGAGATTACCACATCAGCCATGACTGTATGAACTTCCTCCTCCCTCCTCATATACCAGATGTACTTTCCACAGTATTTACTGTAAAGACTCAAGTCCCTTGAACTCACAAACATCTCACTGATTTCATGAGTCTTTGGTTGCTAATGAAACAAGAAATGAGGCTCCTAGTCTTCATTATAGCAGGAATCCTCCTGTCTTCTCTGCTATGTACACCCAGTTCCTGATAAGAAAACATCTAAACCAGATGCACTGCCTAGCTGTAAGCGACTCTAGTTTAGCTTTCATAAACCATTTACAGCAGCTTTCAAGCATTCATAAGAGTGAGTCACAGATGCAAAGGGTGTCTCCAGGGTGTAATCTAACGCAACAGAAAGGAACAGCACACTCCCAGACGGAGCTTGGATGCAGCTCKGCCATGTATCGCTCACAGCCCAAGGACACAACCCATTCGCCAGGTGGYCTCTCATACTGGGGCCCATTCATGGTGGTCCCAAGGGTGCTGCAGGGGCAAATTCTTCTGCCTGTGCAAATGAGCTTGGTGGATTGGCGGGGGGAACCTCTGCACCGTCCTGCCCACCCAGAGGCAAGGACCGGGCTGCAGTTTTCTACAAGAGCAAGGAAAAGTCCTGAGAACTACGAACACCTTTTCCTAAATGCCTGCAAGGGTGCTTGCAAACAGAGCTATCTCCCAAGGAGAACAGGGAAGAAGGTGCAATTTTTTTCCTCTGAGTGGGAGTACCTTGACTTTTTGTTTGGCACTGCAAAAATAACCTCAAGTCCTGGAGTGTCAAGATTTGGAGAGCTGATCCCTGATGAGGGCTGCTCTTGTGGGCCCTTTCTTCTTCTGGGAAAAAAAAAAAAGAAAGATGGTAAGTTAAATAGAAAGGGATGCAAGGAGGCAGGAGTGACCAGGTGAGAAAGACGTTTGCCTGTTCTTAGGCAGAAGTGGAGATTAAAATAATCACTAAAAATGCCTTTAACATAATGGGTCTAGAGTTGAGAGTTCTGCTGAAGTAAAGAGCAGCCCTCTTAGTTCAGAGCATGTCGATTTGTAAACTCAAGCGAGTAAGGTGCTCAAGTGAGTAAGTAACTCCATGGCTTCTTTATGCCACTAAGCTATTCCAGTAGCTCAGCTGCTCAGATGGCTTTACTTCATGGCACATCACGATTTTCTTAAAGCGAGACACAGAGAACTGAATCCGTTCTGGGAAAAACGTCTGCTCTGAGTGAAGCTCCTCCAGCCGGATTTTCAGTTTGTCAAGGCACAGTCCTACGAAYACATCCTCCAGTTTAATAAACGGGACACAGCCTGAGATTTCATAGATCTTACTAGCAACGTCGGTGGAAAAAACGTAGCCAGTCCCTGAACAAAACGGCGGGTAGGTGTCTCCTGGATATTCCTTGTTRCTCACATACCACTTACTCCCTGTTTTCCGTATAGGGTACTCATGCAGTTTTAAAAAGCCCGTGAAGAAGCTACTGCTCTTGTTTTTCCTTACGAGCAGTTCAGTGAGGTAAAACACATTGACAAACACATCGCTGTCAGTCTTCATCACAAAGCTCGACTGAGGGCAGTATCTGTGAACCCATTCCATCCCCATCATGGTCTTCAAAGTCAAATTGTAATACGTGTCCGTAAAATTCTTTTGAATGACGTCCTTGTATTCCTGGCTTTCAGCCACAACACCGGCCTGCTCTCTGAGATTCGCAGTGGTTCCCAGCAGGAAATAGGCTACAACGCGCCGGCCGCCCACGCTCCTCTCCTTGCCCCAGGTTTGCCGGATGGCCATCCTGGCGCCAGCGTTGGGGATGGAGGATGTCACAAGCAGGATGAGGAAAGGGGGGTTCTTATGGCACTCTGCATCTGGGAGCAGCAAGAAGTTTTCATCGTGTCTTCTAAAAGCCTGTGGGGGGAGTGTGGCGTTTTGCCTCTTTTCACAGAATATACAAAATTCAGTCAAGTGGGTGTACAAAACCCATAAGCTAAAACAGCTGAGCCCCATGAGGCAAATAAAAATATTAAATTTCTTGAAATCCATCTGAAAGAGAAAAGAAGGAATGTTACATTAAAAAAAAAAATGTTTCTTTCAGTGCTGTATAGCAAACTCCCTGCTGTCTCACAGGGACTTAAAAGGCAGGTCATTTGCGACTGAACCTGGCCGAGTCCAGGGTGCTCGCCCACACATACACCCACACCCTTGAAAGCCCACGAGAGCACCCACAAGTGCCAGGTCGCCCTGGCCGATGCCGCGTTACAAAACGTGACACTGACCCACCAGCATCCTCAGGAGCAGAAATACGGGAGAAASAGCTGATACACACCCCAGGCAGAGAGTAACAGTAACGGCCTGAATTACCTTTTTTCTCCGTTCATTTGAGCAGCAGCGGATGCTGGAGCCCCCAAGGCCTGGCCGATTGCCAGACCAAACCAGAGCCCAAAGTTCCTCCCATCTTCACCTTCCTCGTGCCCAGCAGGGCTCCCGCACCAACCTCGATGCCACTTGCGGCCTCGCTGCTGCCTGGGCCATCGGTCACCTCTCGGAGGTCATGCCAAGAACGGCCTTCGGGGAAAAGAAACAAAGCACAGAGAAAAGCAGCGGGTCAGATAGCTCTGGTGCTGAGCGTGGTTGACCCATTGGTGTGTGCTGAGGTGAAAGAGGGGGGTCCTGAACCCACACACCCCTTCTTAGGCGAAACGGGTGGGTGAAACAGTGTCATTGCTCGTTCGTTTGTCCGTTTGTTTGTGTCACAGACGAGCATGCTGGKTAACTAGTCACAAATCTAATACAAACTTTGAGAGAGAGAAAAATGAGCCAAGCAAATACCCCCACGCCCCCAAAAAACCCACAGTGCCTGAAAGATTACACATCTTCATTATTAACTTAGTGAGAAAAGCATACTGTTTAATTTAGTCATTCCATAACTCCTTATCTTCAGCAACTCCTTTTTCCGAGTATCAGCGTTGGGGAATTTTACTAGGGAGAGGCACATTCCCTTCCACTTCCCCTGCTTCTTGAGGAAGAAATGGATCTGCCTTCTCATCCAAATAGCATAGCAAACCAAGTTTACAAGCCTCGGAGCTGTAGGTTTCATGCAAATTTGATCTCTTCAAACTTTCCGAGCGGGAATGTTCTACCTGGACTCCCCAAAGCCACATCAGCATCSTTTTGTTGCTGTAATTCAGACATAGATCCACAACTTCTTCCATTTCCATGCAATGGAAAGGTTTTGCATGACAGGCATAAATGCATTTTGAAGTCCAAACAATGTAAGCATTAATCAAATAAATAGAACTGCTATACTGTAATTCACCCCACAGTGAAATGTATTTTTGTAATGATTCACTAATCACTTTGGAGAATGTATACAATTTTCACATTTCTTGTGCCCCTTRTGTTTAACTTAGACTATTTTTAGATTGAATATTCTTCCAATCTGTTTTTCTCATGTATGTGTAGTTCACAATAGGCTTTGCAGATTAGCTTAAAAATTGTTTTAATTATATAGAGATATGAAACTTTGTGTGTGTGTGCGTGTATATAAATATATGCATATACATACATGTATATATATGCACATATGGTATCCTACACAATCTCCTCTGCATCTGTTCTTGCTTTCTTCGGTGGCTGGGAGGAGCATATGAATATACTGAAAATTATGTTTTCAGAAAAGAAAAAGCTCGGAGGTTGACAGCAAAGCTGCAGAAAGGATTCACTCCTGTCATCTGCTCTCAGGAGACTATTCAAGGGACTCAGCATCTCAGCAGCTGGAACTGCTGAATGCTCGCAAACAAAAGCTTTTGAAATAACTAAGAAAACAGTTGAGAGAACAATTTCCAATGTAAATCTATTGACGCCTATTTCAGGAATACTCAAGAGCAAAAAATAAAGTGCTCATTTTACCCAATTTCAGCAGTACCAGACTCACATGGCTATGGTTACTTCTACCTTCTTTCCAGGTTTGGTCGGTGCTAAGGGAGTTGGGCAAGCAGAGCCGTGTTCCAGCAGCAAGGAACCCCAGGGCAGGGCCTGGAAGCCCCTGGCCACCCCTCCTGCATGAAACCTGGGCACCCACCACGTTCCTTCCTCACCTCCCCGATACGCCAGCAACGGCATGGAGGGGATCAGGCCAAGCAGCACCCACAGCATCCTCCAAAGAGGTTCCTCTRTGGGTGACTGGCAGGGGACCGACCAGTCTCCACAAGGGCATCCTGGCAAGTACTCGCTACACTGTCAGCGGCCAGGGCCTTCCTTTTTTCAGGCCATATATGAAGTTTACCTTACACAGACATAACCGCACACATAGACAGGTATATGCACACCTCAACCAGCTGTCATCACTTTCCTCTGATAMCGGCCATGCAAATATGTTATGTAAATCGTAACATGCGATTGTAATTTCTTCAAACTGCACATACAGCAGGCTCCTGCCTATAGTTAAGGCTGGATTATACCTTCTGCTGTAACATTTCTATTTCTCTTATTTTCGGCTCACTTTCTTGACAAAAATCCTTTTGTTTTGCAGTACTTCCCAGCTGATTTACCACTTTGAAAAGCAATTTGTTAAATTAGTGAGTTCAGCTGCGCTTGGGTAGTTCTGCCATGAAATCACTCGAACCTTTGCACTCTGGCTGATTTTTAATAGCAAAGCCTCCAGTAAGCCTCAAGCGCTTGTCTGGGGTAACGCACAAGCAGCACGCGAGCCCCTGTCAGGCTGCACCCTGCAGCCTTCGCTGAGGTTCCCTGCTGGTTCCTACACCAACCGCTGTGCGGCCAGGAAGGGATGTCAGCATCCCAAGCAGTAGGGTTTTATTCTCGTCTTTACAAAATCAAAATCCACAGTCTGGCAAGCCAAGCTGGCGCCTGTCCCACTCTCCGGTGCATTTTGCAAGGGCTGCAGGTTCAGGCGGAGTCTGACCTGTTGGCCCTGACTTTCCTATTTCCCCCTTTGGCTGCGAGGGCCTGGGATGCTGCTGGAGGCCAACAAGAGCTTCAGGCCCTCGAGCACCCAAATTTGGCCCCAGTTCTCCACACAGGCCTTGCTGAGCAGGCGGCAGGGAGGACAGCGAGAAATGAAAAGCTCCAAAACAGCAGTTTGAAGAAAATAAGCTTTCTTCATTATTCTGGGGAAAAGCTACAGGGTCCGGCAGACTTCCAGCCCTGAGGCCACGCGCGCTGGGCAGCGATGGAGCTGCCGGGTGGCCTGGAGCCAGGGCCACAGCAGGGAGGTGCCAATGGCTGCCCCAGGACAGGCCCAACGAGCGACATTAGAAACGCAAATATCACATGTTTAACACCAGCTGGGGGATTGTGATTTTCCTGTGCTAAGGATGAACAGCAGCACKTGTTCCAGCAAGAGGGCTAGTGACCTGCTAACCCTGCTAAGCTTTGAGGGTTTTTTTATAAACACAGCCCCCARAATTGCTCTCTGAGAGGCTCAGTGTGATCCAGAGGAGGATCGGACATTGTAGAGATAATAAGAAAATGGGAAGAGCATCAGGAAACACATTTCTMCCCCCGGCTAACCTCAAGTGTTTTGGGGGAGCAGGGCCCAGTACGCAGGGCCAGGCACGCCCAGACCACAAGCCAGCAAGGGCGGCAGTGCCTGGGCCACTCTTGGTACGGGACAGGAGGACAAATTCCACCCCCCAACAAAAGGAGTGCCTTTTATCATTCCTATTGAATAGAAATCCACAGAAGACTTGTGTTTTTCCATTCCAGCAGAGGTGGGAGGCCACGYGCACTCTGGATGCCTCAGGAGCACATAATGCTTCCAAAGGTGCCTCAACGGTCCCAGTTCCTTCTCCGCTGCATCTGCCCTAATCCAGCCCTGCCATGGCCACATCCGCCACRTGTGTTGCACTAGTATTTTTAAGGTGATCCTTGAGCTCTCCTGAAGGGCCAGGATGTTGCCCATTAGTGGCTGTGACACTGCTAAGTGGTTTGGTGATTTGCCCGTGGCCGTAAAGGGAACGAGTGGTGGAACCAAGTTAAAAATCCAGGTCTCCTTCCTCCCCCAGCAAGGTGCTAACTGGGGCACCCAGTTACGTGAGAGAGACAAGACCTGGGCACGGTGCTTGAGGAAGAACCTCCTTGGCAGCTGCTGCCAAAGCTTCATCCTTCAAATGGTTACACATAGTTTTAAATTAAATAGTGCTAAGGAAAAAAAAGTAGAGCAATATTTTGAATTCTAACTTAGCCGTCATTGTGAGGGATTCCTATGCACAGATAAATCATGCAGATACAGACATGTTTGCATACCATATTTGCATATTGCTTTTGAGCAGGATGATCACGCATAGCATATATACTGTTTATAACAAACAATGATGTCTTTTTCTAGCAATCAAAAAGAAAAAAAAACACAAAACAATTACAAGAGAAGGGACCGTAAAATATAAAATCAATTAAAAATAAATAAAAATTAGTTTTTCAGTCTCTAAAACTTTCATTTACTTGCCTTGAATCTCACTATGATCATACTATGACATGGATGGTTTCAGAATAGCCACCTACCTAGTGTAACTCTTTTTAATCTTATTATCGCTGCAAATAAAAGTTTTTCTCTGTATTACACAAGGTATTGTGTTGATGGTTAGCTATGATTGTATCACTGCTGAAGAGCAAGCGTATGTATATAAGCACACCCTGAAAACCACAGCTCTCTTAAAATGTAACACAGGCATATAAACAGTTTGGCAGGTACCATTCACACGTTGAAAGGGTCCACCTCTGCTCTTACGAAAGACAGAACAAAAGTTCAAGGTCTCATTGGCTTAAATGTGTGGTCTTTCCAGCTCACATGGAACAATGCCAAACTAGAGGCTGAGCTTTCCATTACAGGTAGGATTGCAATGGCCCAGGCTAGAGACATGTTGCCATTGGGCTCTGTCTCCAACAATATCCGGGCAGTCAGTGTCTAAAGGAGAAGAAAAAACTGGGGAAGAGGCACAGAGTCTGCATGTCTGCCTTTGYTAGCTCTTGATGTGCTTGACCTCATCCACTCTGCCACGGTCAGAAAACAGAATCGCAGAATT